GAAAAAAATATGGACTCGCATTAAGGGCTGGGCGGTGTGAATGGTGTGTACTCGACCACTTCAGCACGGGCAGTCAGCAGACATGGGAAGGGCCGGTAAATGCCACCGATAAAAGGTCGGTAAATAAAACCAATTGCAATAAATATCGTGTATTCAAGCATTCCTTTTAATTCCGACGTTATGCTAAATGATCATGAGAACGGCTCGTCTGGACCATAGTAATCCACTCGTTCACCATAACTGCTTTCTGTGTCCGATTCATAACCCTTACAATGCCCAACAAAGCCCCTCAGTGAAGTCCATCGTTGGAAGACTCCCTGAAAAGGGGTCAGATTCTAGAGTGGCGTCTACACTATCCACTTAGCTACATCAGGTAAGATATCCGGATGACCATCCTGTTTAAACAATACTAAGCATATCATTCACAATAACCTCAAGTTTAGATGGAAACGATACAATTGGTAAAGTTATTTGTCTGATCCTCACATAGATAGCGAGCACCTCGACCTTCCACAGACATCAACTTCTAGAGAAATAGACGGATGCATTGAGCAAATATGCATAAGTCACGAGGTTATACATCCTTACGGTTTAAACCCTAAGTGGTTGTTCATGATGCTATCAAATCCGCGACTTTGTTCTGACGGACCACGAGTTCTGCTTCCTGTATCCGATAAACCATTACAAATTGTCCACCATTATTTTAAAATCTCACACCCTCCACTCACTCCTTCTCTCTGCGAGATTCATCAAATGTCATTTGACTAATTTTGCTCTCTGTCTTCGGCATTCCCCTTCGATGTTGGCGGCGTTTGGCTCATCGTATCCGTCCCCATAACAATTAATGCTTTCACTATGTTTGGGAAGAATGAGTCTCATGATGCTACCGATTATGAGATTATCCGAGTAAATTCAAGGAAATATGGAGAATGGTTTTCAACCGCAGCAACGGCATGGGCGTCCAAATGAAACCAATTTCTTAATTTTTATTTACATTTGCTTATATATAAACGAAAGCTAAAGGCATTAAAATTTTTAAAAACGAGTCTTACCATCCAGTTTATTAAATTGACTCTTATTTTTGGGTTAGCGAATAATATTTTTGATAAATAACAATGACTCTGGACCGTCATACATCAAGCATTGTCCAAAAATCAGCGGTTTACAATACGGATTAGTCGTATGGCTTCCTAAAATAGCTACATTGATGGTAGAAGAAAACGAACCTCATTTTTAAGCAATATTGCCTTGATCGCCACTGATTTGAATGATTCTGTGGCCGAGAAAGTCACTGACGGCAAGTACTCTGCTCCCATGTTTAGCAAATTCCAGACACATAATGGCTAGACAGCACTGAGATAAGGACAAAGAAGCAAAGAGAAACAGAGGTAAAACCATATGCAAGCAACGCTGTTTCAAAATTTTACACCCTAGAGGGTGACTCCACCTTTACGTTAATGCTCTTAAGGATATAAGTGTATGAGCTGACCAGTCTGATTGCTCCCTCCTTTAATGGTTTCCAAACAGAATAGAACTCGGCGTTACTTGGACGTACTAAGAGTAATCAGAAGCGTAGTAATCGGTACCTTCTCAGCTATGCACAAATGAGATATCTACCAGGATCAGTGCATGCGTGTTTCCTTTTCAGCACCAAGTAAGTAAAAACGATCGACTGAGGCTTTTTATAAAACTCAAAAGGTGATGAGACGTGTAATAATCCTGTTGACATTTAGGGCTCCATTTTGCAGTTTTGTTGTGTTTTGGTCACCAAAGGATGCAAGCTCTTCGGCAATGTATACTCTGCCCACTTATTATGCGTTTTTATGTCTTCGAGGATGGCTTTTGAAGCTACGTGGCGATTGCAGCTGTGCTAAATATCATCAGGGTTTTTGGAGATAAATGACCTTGACTATGCAACAATAACATCTTACATCTTACAGCAATGTTCCCCATTGCTGAGTATGTGAACCAAGAGGGCATTCCTTATTTGCTTACCCTCTTACCTCAAGCAAAGAGAAGTGGAGCTGGCCACCTTAAAAAAGGCCATTGGCCTTAAAAGATGCTGAAAATGGCACTTCTGATTGTAGAACTTTTGGGAGCTAAAATGTGCCATCTCCTCTAATATGCAATATTCGTAACCCACAGATGGCTGTGATAATAACTTTCGATTTTATGGCATGACAATAGGTAAAGCTCGTTTTGTTCACGAGGGTCTCGTACACTTAATTAACCATTTTTCCGCTCCTTACTTGAGTGTGTATATCAACAGTCTTCTTCATGCAGACCGGAGTGAGTTCACTTCATCACCCCCATCATCAAATTTTCGTGTTCTCATAAATTTCATGTCTAACACATTATTATGATGGAAAGCGATTTAAAATTGAGTAAGAAATTCCGAATTCTTCCATAAGAGACCAGTGACTTGCGATGGTCATTTCTGCTGACAGTGACTTTAAACGCATCATTTAAAGTCACTCACGTGACTCACTGACAAAATTAACGTTGCTTAAAAGTTACCACGAGTTTCTGCTAAATTTTGCAGAAAAGTTCAACCCCTATAGCTAGTCAAGCATCGCTACTTTAACGCAGCGTCTCATGCGCATTGGTTTGGCTATTGAAAGCGTGTTAACCTATTGCACAGAATTCGTTAATACATAAAAAAGAAATTTGTGTTGGTCTTATCTTCTTGACAGCTGCTTGAGTACTGGGAGAATGGTAGTTGAAACGTTTTCATTCCTGCTTCGTTAACACTACAGCAGAAAATAATAAACCCACTCAACCATCCCTACATCAGATTAACTCAGTGAAGCATAAACGCCCTCGTATTTGCTGAAATGACTGAATAATCGAATATCAGGGTGAGAATCACAATACTTTCCATCCTATTCATGCTAGAAAGTCTAAGATGCTGTGCAGTCAGGCAAATCTTTAGAGGGGAAAGGAATTAGGGATGGTGACACGACCACAATATCTTATTCAAAAACGATCGCACACAGAACGCTGTAAATAAAGAAGTGGTCTAAAGATTCATTTGGTCAAAGCATTTGCAAAAAGTAGTCCAAATGTGTGTGAGTATTTTCGCCTTGGAAGGACTGTTGAGTCAATATATTTATTGAAGTTGATCGGTAAATCGATTTGGTTAAACAATGGTTGACTAATCGCCATCAATAATAGTAAATTGGGCTAAATTTTTTCTTTGGTCTTCCGCCCTCTCTGCTTCTACTTTTAGAGGGGTGTGACCTTAATTGCGCGTGAAAATTTCATAAATGCCTGTAAAAATTTCAACTACAGTTTCCTTCATCTTGATGCATCGCAGTAGGTTTGCAGAGCCAAATGTTTCACAAAAACAGCCTAGAAGACTGATAGTCTTAAGACTTAACACTCAGATTGCGCCATTGTTTTATCCTTTAAAATTTGAAGAGAGCAAGATGTGGCCTTAACATCTGTTGCTGGGGTTTTCACAACAATGAAAGCAGGAGACGGTGTTTACAGTCGCGACCAATCGAGAAATGCATACTACTTGCATGAGAGCATCAATAAAGTAAACGCACGATACCCCTTCAACTATAAACAGACCAGAGAGTATCTAGCTGTAGAGCCATGGCTAGTACATTTCCTACGCGAGACGAAACTCGTGAATTCATGCGACTGCTAAGAGGGAGTTGTAAAGCAGCGATTGGAAAACCGTCTCAGTCGCACACGAATTCGTTTACTAATGCGGTGGGTTCGTAGCTGCCTTCCGTACGCCGTCGACAGGGAAAGTTGACCGACGGAAGACCATGCAGCTCGTCAACGGTTTGGTTAACCCTTTAGTGTGGTTTCGCAGGGAGTTGGACATCATTTTAGCGGAGCGTAAATCCAATGATCAGCCATTGACCAAAGGTATTACTGATGAAGAAGTAAAAGAGGATGGTGTATAATGTATTCAAGCTGTCCTTTTTGTTTTGCGAGTATCTAGCCTTCATTTTGTCCTTTTTTGGAGAAGATGGACTCTGACCCATTTTTAAGTAGGTAAGACACGATCCGTTTTCGCATTAGAGCTTTCCCAATGTTCATGAAAAATATAAATGGCACACAGACCTAGGCGTTCAAAATGTTGAAGTTAGTTGATAAAGGGCGTTGGAAAGCATTCCCTTTCGAGAATCTCGTGAGCGCTCTTGGATACGAGAAATAACAGACAAATTTCCTTTTAAGGATAATTTACATAGATGCATTTGCTTACTGCGAAAGTTAAAATATCAGCTTGTTATATTTTATGGGTCCTTTTGTCCTTTAGATATGACAACACCTGAAAGGGTACGTGTGCATGCACCCACCCTCAGTAATCATGCATACGTCAGTCATTACGACCGGATTGCAGCTGACCTTTAACAACCCTAACCTTCCTAGCTTGACTGTAGGGAAGCTTAACGTAAATAATCGTTTGGAAGAAGTTGAAACATCTGCAGCTATACCCGTTTGTCCTAAGGAAGATGGTTTACATAGTAGAGGAAATAAGGGTCGATGGACGAAGGACTGCTGCGTATGCATCTACTCTAGAATCGCGAAAAAGCGTTAACATCGAAGAAGGGGCAGTAGGGCAGTAGAAGAGAAAAAAACAACTGTAATTTTTACAAAATGGCAACCAAGAAGGCTAGCTCTCCCTCCAGGCCATTCATAATTATGCAGCTTCACTGAATTTCCACATTTGTATGGATGAGTGCATAAATGCTAAAATGGGTTCGTGTGTGCTGGTGACGGGAGCAGTGGGAGACGTGGCATGCAATATTGTAAAGGGGTCCAGGCTAACAAGAGAGCTGTCGTTGATATTTTGCATTGCACGGTTCAGAGCACGGGGCCTGGTTAGTTTAAAATTTGGCTCGTTCGAGAAAAAGAAAGGCAACTGCTAGTGTAGGACGGTGGTTTGCTAAGTCGGATCTGTTATTATGCAATGGATGTGGGGTTATGCGTAAGCTAAGCAAAGGCGCTGCAATGAAGAGGAAGGGAGTGGAGTGTGATATCTACGACAGTATGCATTTCTCCGTGGCCTCGGATATCAACTTGCCAGGCGCTTCAGTCACTTTGGAGGCAATTCCACGCATATTCTCCGGCAGCATGCCTAGACGAAATGGTAGGCTTTGAGAGTGCTTGGCTAGTACTTCTACGAAAGGTAATGTTAAATTACTAAAATCTCAGTGCTTTGGGGTAAAATAAGCTTTTATTCTAATGTCAGACAGGTGTAGAGATGTACTGATAAATTGAAATGGAAGGTAACAAATGCACCATTATCTTCATATCTCAATATGTTAAAGGCATAATTCCCGCAAAATTCACGTTCCTATGTATGCTATCAAGGTTTCTACGTCCTCACCGGAAAATAATGAGTTAGCACATAAAATGAGGAACCTCCTCGACTTCTCTAAACGACAACTACAATCAACTTAATGTAATAGATGAAAAGAAGGTGTTAGAGTTCGTTGCCACACCTATGAGTAGGACTGTAAAAAAAGCCTCTAAAATCTTCCTCCAACAGAATTCGAGTAACGCGTTTGGTGGGAAGGTGACAGAACTCACTTAAGCGCAAACCAAGTCTGACCGTAAATCTTTGCCCATCCAAAGCAAGTAAGCAACTAAGAGTACATCTCATCAACCTAACCCGCCACGTTTGTTCCCAAGCAAACAAATTGCATTGGGTCACTTGATCCCAGAGCTAGAGCTCCCAGCTAACTCCTCCGTCCGGTGATCGAAACACAGAGAAGGTGGTTTAACGAATAACATAGCTTGTGTTTCTCCAACACAACAGGTTACGTTAATTTGTGCTCTAAAATAATTCAAAGCTTAGTTAAGGAAGATAGCACATGCTACTCAAATGCGATTCGAAAATGTAGAATCGTCACAGGTCGGTCACAGGTCACAAGAGCTCAGAAATAAAGTTTTAGAAGGCTTGGCATGTAAAACTGACTTAATCATGCAAAGCACGTCCACAGGCATAAAACAAGCACTGCTATTAAGAGATGACCCTAGCTAGCCAGCATGTTCAGTTAGAAATCATTTGTATAACTTTGTTTTAAGGTAGTTTCCCGATAATCACCTTAATATATGGTGAGAAAACTTCCAATGTACATTTAAAGGTCGTAATGGCAAACTAAATGAGAATAATTAAATAATTTCACCTAGCAAATTTCCTTCACGAAAAGTCGCACCGGTAGGCTAGTAGTGAAAAGACTTTCTATGCCCCTATACCTAGACTAGAAGCGATGCTTAGCATTTCATTCGGCTTGAGAGCGACATTATCAAATTTTTCAAGGCTACGGAAAAAGGAAGACTTTCGGTTGTGCACAAACCGATGAGAGAATCCTCGTCCGCTACAGCCCTATCCGCTTCCGCAGCCAATTCGGCCGGCGTCTTCCGTTTCCTGCCCACACGACCACCTTCGTTAGTCATCATTAACTCGTCAAAGTCTATCTCCAATTCCTTCTTCTTTATTCCATACTAAAAGGTGTAAAAGAAATTCAGATTTCAAAATCTATTTTTCTGCTTCACATCCTTCAAGCTGTCACTTTATGACCTCACTGAAAGATCGTTTCGAATAGTGTTGGATGAGATGCTACAAAGCTTATTTGCGCATTGCAGAACGGTGTGAAATTAAGTCGTAATGACCTAGGGAAGTACTGACTTGCGTAATTTTATGGTAAGTTTGGAGGCAAAATTTACGAGAAACAAGTTCTTGGAACATTATTTCGGCAAAAAGAAGTTCGCCGGCTAGCCTTTTTGACAGACGGAATAATAGTAATGACAATATTAAAAATAAGTGGGAGAAAGACATAATAATAGGCCGGTATTCTTACAAGATAAGAGGATATCCGATGCTCATGTGGACAAGTAAAACAAGAATGGAGTAGCTTGCTTAAGGCGGCGTCTCAGTCATGTGAGCATTCGAGACTTTGCAATTGTACCTGGATTGACAGTGGAGCCTGTGAGGAATGCCAGTAGTGCATCAGATATTATGCCCTTTATGACGCATACTATTTTCGTACGTCTTCAAAAGAAGCTTGTGACTCTACAGCGATGACGACGGGAAGCTACTCCTGCGTTAACCTTCTTTCTACCACTGATGTTAATTACCTTTTCAGTTGTACGTGTTTGCCTTATAAAACCCACTGCGTTGTGATAACCAACGTGGAAATTTGACAAGAGGCATTGGATGCCTCCTTACCTCCGTGTTTTGGTTTCTATGCTCTAAGTTCTCCACTTTCTCTCTTCTCGAGGTGTCGTAGGCCTCAAAATAATACCAACCGCATCCTCTAACACATGCGCACATACATTCTGCACCAATTTTGCGACTTCCCTTAAATACAATGAGGACTTAAGGTAATAAAACAAAGCGAGTGGACTCTTATTCTCACTTGGTTATTCAAGCTTTACCGTGTAAAAGTTGAAATTCCAAATGATGTGCCTTTACAAGAAAAGCGAGACCAATAGAACGTTCTGCTTTTCCATTAGGGGCAGAAAAGCAACGGCTTAATTATTAATACTTTGTGTTAGATAACTTAGCGCTCCTAGGCTTCATGACTTATTTCATTTCTATTCTAAGAATATACGATCAAAAATGGCTGAATCAACTTTATATAAGGTGGAGGAAGTTTGCATATTCTTGTTTGAAACGTTGAGATGACGATTAGAGCGGGGATTGGATCTCCCTTTATTATGATTCGAGATGAAACACTGCTTTTCTGGCTGCTTTAGTGCATTGATTGCGCAAGGTTTTGGTACAGAGTTATGGACACCAACAACCCATTAACGTCAATCGAAGGCTCTTCAAATCCTGTTATCAATAAAGTTTAGGAGTTTTTGAAACTCCGACGGCAGAACTGGCTTCAAAACAAGTTACAACGTTCAAAGCTTATTTTCCTCAAAATACTGGCAAGTAACTTGAAATAAAGGCTTTTGTGGAAATGGTTACTGTGCCATGCTCATTTGTCTTGGCTTCGAAACGGTTTGTAGATCAAAGGAAAAGGTTTTGCAAGTTTTTACTTTTACGAAGATCAAAGCGGCATATTAATGGGTCTCCGAGAGAGGACGCATTAAATGGGTTCACCTCCGTTTAAAACTGCAGCACACTTTCCAGTGGTGCAGAAGAAAGGGTTTGTTTACGCTAAACCAAAAATTGGGGGTTCTACAAGTCGGTCCGGTTTCTATCCCATTGACTCAATTGTGAAGGCAAAGTTGTAGTTAAGGGATTTCAAGTTCAGTATTCGCTTGTTGGGAATGAAACAGAATATTAGAAAGAGAGTGGTTCCACATTCATGTCACTCCCAAACGATGTCATTGCCATTGCAACTAATTTAAACTCTTCTAACAAGTCATCATCCCATTTATTCTCTTTGAGAAACAATATGGAGGTGAAATCGTCATAACAAATTTAGATGGATAGTAAAAAAGACAACTGTTCAATGAACTTGAGTCACACAAACAAGTTTACCATTGGTACATTCAGTGCATCGAATTTTCGATACTAAATAATTTAAAACAGGCGTGTTAATAATTTCACTGTCCAGAGAGTGAAGAAAATTATAGCTTTCGGCAATGAGTGGGTGCTAAGGCAATTTAATTGTAATCCTCTTTTCATTTTTACCAGTGAAAATATCAGTTCCTAAAACAAGAGATAATTAGCGATCGATTCATAATTCTCTAGATACGCTCAAGACGAAGATGATGTGCCTCTAACCTACTGGCTGACTGATCTACTTTATTCAATGCCATCGATGCAATTCGTCTGCTTTATTTTAAAAAGATTCGATCCATAGGTACCTAAAATGGTTATTATAAAAAAATAGATGCAGTTCATAATACAAAACAAAATGCCATCAAGTCAAATCAACATTGCCCATTGTTTTTGGAATTTCTCCAGTTTCGAGTTTTTAGTTAAAAACAAAAACTATACTTCCATAAAGTTCCCAGACATTCAATTAACTACAACCTCATAACTTTCCAGTAATTCTGCGTACCGTCTCATATCCTCTCCATCTTGCTACCCCCACATCACTCATATCTCCGTTGCTAAATCCCTTATACAGTGATCGGACGATTGATAGGAGGTAAAAAAGGTCTACCTTATCACGGATGTCTTGCCGCATGGCTTCGCGTTCCTCCTCCATCCTTCGGTGCTTCTCCTGCCGCTTCTGCTCGGCCTCTCGTAGAGCCTCCTCCACTTCGGGATCAATTTCGCGCGCTCCTGACGATCCGCTTTCATCTTTCTTGTCACCGAGAGCACCTGCAAAGGTTGCACAACGCTACCGCTCACCCCTTGATCTGTCGACTCCCATGTTTCTTTAAATTGATAATAATTGTAGCTTTCTGTCTCCCTTTGGCATTTTTGTTAGTGTTAATAATGCCAAAACCAACTAAATGGTTTTTTCGAAGAAACTGCTAGGTTAGAACTTCGAAATGAATTGTTCACACTATTTGTTATGTCAGGCTTAAAGTAGATACAAACTAGCTGCCTACTTAACAAATTTAATAGCATTGGTCTGCAACGAATAATTCAGAAACGGGAGTGTTACGAACCCTGAAGTGGTAGCACTAGAGAAAAGCAGTTTCACGACAATGCTAAAACCATCCGTAAAGTTTATCAATTCGGCCCACTTTAGCGGATATTGCATTTGTTAAGGTCATCTCAACTCTAACCAAGTTGTACTCATAAGGTATAAATCACCGTTCTCAGTAAATTCGAGTTTTTGATTAACAGAAAAGCCAGCACTGAGTGAATAAGCGAACAGATTTATTTGAGGAATTCTGTCAGATCAAGACATTTATTGTAAGCTCCGTGAACAGAAGACGATGAAATTGATGTGGAGTGGATGCATGTGAGCAGATAGCTTACCTTTCACAGAGTCTAGCTGATTTCCAATGAGTTGTTTGGCAATGAAACTCGCCATGGCGAAGAGTTATGCAATTTGGTAGTGCGTATACTTTTGTCCGTCCAACGATTGGCTTTGACCTGCTCAAATGCCCTAGGGCATTCCGCCTGTGTGGGTAAAGGAGGGAACGAACGAACGAACGACAGGGCAGAACTAGCACTGCAACAGAGACGAGGGGGCTTAGACGAGAGAGAGAACGAGGACGAGAGGAGGAGCGCTTTTGTGAGTTCTGTTACCAGCCTCGCGTGAAACATACGTGTTTGCCTAAATGCGGACGTGCGTGCATGCATCCATGAGTGCGTGTGTATGTGCATAAGGAGGAACCTCACCTAGGCTTTAGGGAGGAGCCATAACTTGAGTGCACGTACGCACGTACCAAGCTAAACTCCCGCATTTCAATTGGTTAACTGTTGGTGGCCATAATGCTGTTAATTGGCTACCCAAACGCATGACTGTGATTGGGAGAACTTATGGGATTAACAGGGGCCTCAAGTGACCGGATTTATACCGTGATGCCACTAATGTTTGTAATGCAATGGACTTTGGATCAATAGGGATTTTCTAGCACTGTTTATGCTAATGTTAGAACGGAGAATGGATGAACAAGACATTTATAGCTTCGGCAAACTTTTCGGCAATGCAAGTAGTCAATCGTCAGTTCGTTCACTTTAGTCCCAAGTACAGTTGGCCTTTGTGTTGCTCTTGGTAAATAACACAGATTTTTGAGGTGTGATGGTGCTGAAGACCTTCGGGACGTCCCTGAAAGCGATGAATATCGTATTATATGGAACGATCTGGTGGTTTCGAGGATGTGAATGGATGATGGTCCACTTGAATGGTCTTCAGGCCATGTTGCTCATCGAAAATTTACCATCAGCCGAGTATTAAGCAGCATTGAAATCAAAATGAAGTATTGTAGCGTCAGCATCGGTCACAATAATTAGTGAAGCCTACCGACTTTATCAAATTACGATTTTTAGGAGACCGTCAAGCTCTTTGATAGATTTAATGTTTTGTTGTTAAGTACATTCGGATCACAATGTTGTAGCACGGTTTACAATCTGAGTGTCATTCGTCGTAAAAATAGTCAAGCCTTAAATAACATGGATTCGATGGTGGAAGGAATAACATTTGTAAATGATTGCATTTACTGAAGTTTACTTTGCCTATGAACAATTTGAGCACTTTTGTTCCAAAAAGCGAACATTTTATTTCCGACCGTTATTATTGGGGTACAAAACTAAAGTTAACCTTCTCTAAAAATTTTACGAATTAATAATTCTGTTTAGTTTCTTACGCGTCTAGCTTGTCAGCTTTCCTGACTAAGGGTCACCTTTAAAAGGAAGACGAGTAAGCTTTCAAGAATGATAAACTTTAATTAGATACCTAGAGAGGTGAATGGTCGCAAAAGTTTTCACTGCCACCTAAACAGAGGAATTAAGACCGGTGGCAAAATCCTTAATGCACCCCTAAACCTAGCTCTTACAAGCTTCTTCGTCTCTGGATGAAATATGTCATCTTTTGGAAGCATTAGCATGATATCACTGTTGCTGAAGATGATGAGAAGGATAAAGGAACCAGAGCGAAAACACACCCAAGGGAGTGGCTTCCGACACCATGCATGGTGCACAAAACTGTAACCAGAGATTTGTTTATTGTTGTTGTACACACTAAAAGTAAGCTTTCCCTTTACATGCTCTTGTTTGGCCCTGCATGTCTTTTACGTAAGTTTCCTTTGCATTTAACTATTTAAAGTGAATTAGTTGTTGTTGTTGTAGTCATAGGGCTTGTAAGTAAAGAAAGTTGAGAGCAACCACAAAATGAACCCTATGGACCATTATCTGAAATCCTCAAACAGGTTGTACTCGGAGTCGATTAGCGCTTATGCCTATAGTGGCTTAAACTGCTGCACTTTATCACGACCATTATCAGACTTGAGTGATCAAGAACTTGGTAGGGCGAATTGTTGGTGTACCACCTGCTACATCATGCTTCCCAAATGCTACGCAACAGCCTTGGCCATAAATTCCTACTCCGATAATCTGTAACAGCTTTGCCACCCAAATAAATAAACAATGAAGAAGAAACTCTTTATTTGTACACAATGGATTCAACTGATTCTTCATGGTATGAGTGTTCTAAGTCAATGATGAAGCCACGAAGCATAGCCTCGCACCAACAGACGTTTGCAAATCATCACTTCATACTGAACTCCCACAAACAACTGCATTTAGTTTTCTTTGTCTAGTGGGCCAAGACAAGACACTTCTTCCTTCTGGAAAGCAATACACTGCTTCTAGTGCTTTCCTGCATTCAAAACTCGTACGCCATGCAGCACTCTGCCACAGCAGCCAACAGAAATGGTGGTCTCCTTACACCTAGTTAGACGCACTTCTCTGAAAAATGTATGATCTCAAGCACCGAAAGACCTGTAATATCATGCAAAGGTAGATTTAAACTAAAAAATCTAATTTTCATATTATGTGGGCATGGTTAACAGTATAGTTTTCAAGACCCACCACAGGACTATTTTTATTTAGCTCTTCCTTGTTATGATGGACATAATTTTAGCTAATTAAATCATTGATCGCTTGATCTGCAGCTCTAACAAATTGGTCAATGAGCAGCATTTCTCGATGGAAAATTGAACCATTTGGAGGGATGAAGGTGATGCAACGAGACAGGTCGCGGCATATGGCTTATGGCGACTCTAGACTAACATTTTTCACCTTTTTACCTCAGCATGCAGTATGTCTAGGTAAGGAGATAATTTTCTGATCACCCGAGCCTGTTGTCTGATAGATTTATATGGAAACGGTAAAGATGGGACCTATGCGGACTCTCTGAGTAGATGATGGGTGAACAACCAGCTGAGTAGACGATCACCTTATCTTGACTGGCTATACGGTGTTTCTGAATATCTTCTTATGCCTGTATTCGATCATATGGTGCGTAGATAAGCTCGATAAGATCCATGTGACGGAAGGCATGTTTAGAGAACACATGCGTGATAATTTTACACTGCCTAAAATGGGAAATGATTACATATACATCTCTGTATGGTTGAATTTGATACAGTACATTGTTTTTGGTGGCTTCTTTTTACTCTTCATGAGTGTACACCATAATGGAAGAGTAAATCAATGAGCAGCAAAAGGTGTCGTACTAACAAAATATCAAAGGATCCAAGCTATGTGAAATCGTTACATCCAACGAAACCAAAACAGGTACAAGCTTTGCGAATGCAGTAGAAAAGTTTCCCTTTTCTTCTGTTTTATTCCCTTGTTTTTATTGTGGAACCTTTGTTCATCCCATTAATACACTTAAAAGAGGTTTCCCAGAGAAATACAAGGGGTGCAAGCAACTCCACTGTCTAAAAAATACAGACTTTGGTTGGTTTAAAGTTGATTTTTCTGCATCCAGACATACAATAACACCTCAAAAATACATTTTTAAGGCATCGTGGGGTGTGTTACAAAATTGGCATCTACCGAACTCATGTCCTCATTTGGTATGAGCAAATCTCCCTTTGATTTGAACATTGCGAATTGTCCATATGCTGATTACATCATCCACAATAATTCATACGTGGTTTTTCAGTTCTGGAAATCGGGCTTCAAGTAGTGTGCTGCTCTTTTTCGGCGTTCAGACAAAGTAAAGATCATAGAGCCAAAAGTTAATGCTCCAATGGTAGAAGAGGTATTATCCTACCCTCGGTTTAGCTTGATCCCATCAAAGACGGTTCTACAAATGCACAAGACCGGAGCTTACAGCGAGATTTATGGGTTCCAAAGGTACAATATGCCCCTAAAGAGAGCTTGTCATTTGGATTTGCAAAAGAAGTGTTCTTAAATGTCTTTAATAATCTCTACTACTTTCCAGTGTGCTTTTGAGGTAACCGTATACTTTTACTACCTGCGCCAAAATATGTGCATTTTGCCTGCTATGAGAAGTTAAAAAATCGTCCTTTGACGGCCACACATGGATCTGATTAGTCACATCTTTTAAACCTCCGAAAGGTAAATAAGACTCACAAAAAATTAAGAAGTGATGTTCATTTTTATGAACACTTTAGTATGCACCTAGTTTAGAGTCTTTGAAGAAACGGGTTTTTAGGGAATCATTACTGGACCGAATGTGGCAACGATGAGGCAGTTCAATGTTTTCTTGTCATTCGTACATATGACATGACACGATATTGCATACAACTCATTTCCACTTATGTGAATCAGAAGTTTTTGTGTCGAGATGCTTGATCGTTGACATGAGGCTTAAAATTATGCCTACTTGACATCAAAACCAAAACAAAGTTGATATAACAATCATCATCATTCCGGACACAGAATTCGATTTACTCCTGCATTGGATTAAAT